ATACATTTGCATATCATTTCCTTTTGTACAAAGATAAATAAACATCGAGTTGGAGTGTGAACATTGGTTTTCGACAATGTTTATCGATCCGACTGACCTGATTACAAAATTGCATAATTTGTGACCATATCAGCAAAAGAAAAAAAAAGAGAGATCATGTAAACGAAGGGTATGTGGGGTTATTTTTTGACACCCACTTTGGGTTGGGCACACTGGGTGGTCCCATTGAATAGTCATTATATATATACTTTCACACAGAAAGATGAGCACATACGTATATATATATATATATATATATATATATATATATATATATATTTAATGGTAAAAAAATAGTTTTAAGTCAACCTATGTTTATGGGTTAAAGTGCTCCATATCAGTGATAGAGCGTATATAAAGATCAAAGTGCTTATTGAGGTGGACACTGACGATTGCGTTTAAGCATAAAACAGACGGATTTTGACCTTACTGCCCACTTTATATACATTTGTATGCATCCTTTTCAGTGAATATATATATATATATATATATATATATATATATATATAGAGAGAGAGAGAGAGAGAGAGAGAGAGAGAGATAATATTAGTGGAAAATATACATACATGAAAAAATGTATCTAAAAAAATTCCCATACATGTATATTTTCAGAAAAAACTTTTTTCAAGAGGAAGGATCCAGGTAGAACTCAATGTCTAGGACAGAGTAAGGATATAATAAAAAGGCTTAAACACTAATATTCCATGGTCATAATTTATTCCATTGGAATCGTAAATACGATCAAATCATCAGACCTACAAATTCAAAATGAAAACAAAAAAAACTCCGGAAATCAAAAAACGAATTTAGAGAAAGAGTAAGTATGAGGAGGGGGACATGGAACCTTAACAGAGAGAATTTTAGGAGATCTGGGTGGGGTGGGGAATTTAAAAGAGGAGAGAAAGAAAGTCGACGGATGTCTAATGCATAAAGATACATTTCATTGGTGACATACATACATCACAGACAAATAGAAGTTAGGATAGGAGGTAGGGGGGAAAAAGAAAGAGAAGAGGTGGGGGAGAGAGATGGGACGAAGGGAAATAAAATTGTGTTTACTTATATATATGTATGTGTGTATGTATGTGCATGTGTATGTACACGTATGTCTGGGTGTGTGTGTGAGTACATGCCTAAGTGTATGTACCTACTTGTATTGTTTTTTTGTGTGTATTGGTATGTGTTTTAAACATAGAAATATTTGGTCCTTGCTAGATAAGACAATCATTATATTCACCTTCATATATTTATATTTGATTTCTAACCTGGAGTCTATACTAATTTTCTCAATTACAAAGCGGCCCTTTAAGTAAACATTTTATTATATATATATATATATATATATATATATATATATATATATATATATTATAATAATTTTAATTAGAATAAACAGTTTATTATAAATTATAATTATAATTTAAGCTCTACTTCTGTATGGAGCACTATTTTTTAAAAATAAAAACAAAAATACTAAAGAACTCCGGATTATTTACCTAACGTGTTCTTTCCTATTTTTCTACATATCTGCACGCACACACACACACATATACATATATATATATATATATATATATATATATTGTTAAATATAACAGTCAATGAATGTGTATTATGCCTGATCATGAGCCGTTGTAAACTTCATATGTTTGTTTTAATTTCGGGTGAAAATAAAGACAAAATTGTCCGCCATTTGGATATTTTTTTTAATAACCTTTCAGCTCATATGAGCCATCTTCAGAGTGTTTATATAGACATTTAAACAAAGATATTCACCATCAAAGATGGTATTCTGTTATGTTGATATTGAAGATTGCTATGCGTTGAAAACGGTCTTGGAACAACAGTGGCTTCAAAGGCTGACTTCAAAATTTGGAACTGTAGTGTATATATATATATATATATATATATATATATATATATATATATATATATATATATATATATATATATATATATATATATATATATATATATATAATTACCAAATTACTGGTTCTTTTACAGGTGGGAAAGCCTTTCGGGCAGTCAAGTTCTTGTTAAAAAGTGCTCGCTATAGGAAGTTAGGACAGAGCGTTAATAGAATTAATTTTCATAAGTTTATCTTCTCAGCGAAGCCAACAAGCCCTGAAGAGTGAACCTGTTAACTTGATGTCCTCACGAAACGTAGTAGGGATGACTGAGCCAACACCACTCATCTAAGTGATAATCTTCTTCAAATTATATATATATATATATATATATATATATATATGTATATAAGGAGGTATAGTAGAGAAATGGATAGCGGCTTATTTGTCGTATCCATTAGATTCAGTTAAACAGTATATATATATATATATATATATATATATATATATATATATATATATACAAATTATACTTATGGGTAAAAGTGCTCAATATCAGAGATAGAGCGTATGTAATTTTTTCCAAATAAATTCATTAAACGATCGCGATTTTAAGAAAGAAAGAAAGAAAGAAAGAAAGAAAGAAAGAAAGAAAGAAAGGAGCAAATAAAAAATAACGGAAAAAACGCAAAATGAAATGAAAAGAAAGAAAGAAAGAAAGAATGAAAGAAAGAAAGAAAGAAACGCAAAAGGAAATGGAAGGGAAGAAAGAAAGAAAGAAAGAAAGAAAGAAAGAAAGAAAGAAAGAAAGAAAGAAAGACACGCAAAATGAAATGACAGGGAAAAAAGAAAGAAAGACAGAAAGAAAGAAAGAAACGCAAAATGAAATGAGAGGGAAAAAAGAAAGAAAGAAACGCAAAATGAAATGAGAGGGAAAAAAGAAAGAAAGAAAGAAACGCAAAATGAAATGAGAGGGAAAAGTTAAAAGAAAGAAAGAAAGAAAGAACGAAAGAAGAAAATAAATAAAGAAATGAAAAAATAAGAATAAAGAAAGAAAGTATTAAAAAGAAACTCAAAATGAAATGAAAGGGAAAACAAACGATAAAAGATAGAAGGAAAGATCGTAAAATGTGACCCCTTTATATGAATGAAAGAAGGCCAGAGAAAGAGAGAACCATTGAAATAAGGAAAGCGATAAATAAAAAGGGGGAGCAAAAACAGAATAGAAATCATTGTACCAAAAGAAGGAAATATAAGAAAGAAAGAAAATAAAAGAAAGAAAGAAAGAAAGGAAGAAAATAAAAAAGAAAGAAAATAAGAAAGAAAGAAAATAAAAAAGAAAGAAAGAAAATAAAAAAGAAAGAAAGAAAATAAAAAAAGAAAAAAAGAAAGAAAATAAGAAAAGAAAGAAAAGATAAGAAAGAAAGAAAAAAAGAAAGAAAGAAAATAAAAAAGAAAGAAAATAAAAAAGAAAGAAAGAAAATAAAAAAGAAAGAAACAAGAAAATAAGAAAGAAAGAAAATAAAAAAGAAAGAAAATAAAAAAGAAAGAAAGAAAATAAAAAAGAAAGAAAATGAGAAAGAAAGAAAAGTCAAACGCTAATTTACTTAATTAGTTAAGAAATTGAAAACTATCTTGTAAAGTTGTAAAAGAATTCTTTTATTCTCACCTGCACCCCTCCAGTTTTTGTTGGCTGGGGTCAGATTGTTCTTACTGCACGCCCACACATGCACGTACAAAGACACGCACTCAGATATGTGTGTATATATAAATATATAATTATATATTTTGCTCAATATCGGCAATAGATTGGGTGTATGTGTGTAGATATAATAGTGTGGACATAGAAACCATCGCTGCATAGTGACAGGCAGTTTCACATATTAAGGTTTCATCAAATCAAATATAACTCTGTGTAAGCCAATGCGGTGTTAAGATAGGGAAGCATGTAAATAGTGTTTTTCTTTCTTCTTACTCTTTTTCATGGGTATGCTTTTTAAATATATATATATATATATATATATATATATATATATATATATATATATATATATGCCTAAGTGCGTATGTGTGGCTAATAATTTGAAGATCTTCGGCTTTTTCACAAACAGCTCCATATATATATATGAAAGCAAATATATGGATATAGATCCGACAGTATGAAGAAAAATATACGGAAAAAAATAAATAAAAATCCTAATATGCGATTATGCTGTTTTAATGTTTAATGTCAACGTCGGACGTTTCGGTCTAATAGACCATCTTCAGGACATATTCATAAAACCTAATTAACATAAACCATATACAATTCAACATGAAAAACACGATGGACATAAAAGCAATACCAATCCAAACAGATAACTGAAATTTTTTATAAGATCAGCGTTCCGTTTAAATATGATCACGTCGTCGTCACGTGGGCGATGTTGTGAAAACGTATTCCTGAAATTTGAGTATTTTGAATGAAAAACGAAAAGAATTTTATTTTGATCTAAAACTTATATGTACGTTTGTCGAGCATTAATCTTGCTAGAAAAGGGGAAATATGAAAGAAGCCAGGTCTAGTGTTCACCGTGCATGAGATAGATATTATGCCTGCTTCATAAATCCGCCTAAGATTTTTATTATGAAAATATTTTAAAATCTTCACGGAATCAAAATCGAAATTATGATCAGCTTTAGTTGTGTGTATAACTTAAGCATTGTTTGGATTGGTCTTGCATTTATGTCCATCGTCTTTTTCATGTTGAATTGTATATGGTCTATGTTAATTAGGTTTTATGAATATGTCCTGAAGATGGTCTATTAGACCGAAACGTCCGACGTTGACATTAAACATTAAAACAGCATAATTGCATATAAGAATTTTTGTTTGTTTTTTCAGTATATTAGATTGTAGATAACTAATTCACGGCTCCAAAGACAAAACAAGTAACATCACCTAGCTTGAGAATAGGCATCAAAACCCAGGCGTCAAAATGAAGAACTGAAAAAAACATACAAAAAAATAAAAGAATAAATGAAAATAAACAAAAATAAAAAACACAAACTAAAGGCAGCTTTATATAAACCTTTTTATAAATACTTTTTTTATTATTTTGCTCATACCAATTGATTTTAGATTATATGTAACCAGTTCACGGCTCCAAAGCTAAAACAACATCACCAAACATAAGGCTATTTTTTTATAAACAGAGACGTCACAACCAAGAACCGAGGAAAATATACAAAAAATAAAATAAAACAAAAAATAAACAAAAATAACGAATCAAGCTCAAGTCAGCTTTGTAAACTATTTTTTAATATTTTACTAATGACTATTGTTTGTAAATTGTGGGTAACCGGATCACGGCTCCAAAGATTAAACAACTAACTTTACCTAGCCTGAGGCTTACAATTTTTTTCAGGCGTTAAAATCAAGAAATGAAGAAAACATTAAAATAAATAAATAAATAAAAATAAAAAATAAACAAAAATAAAATAAACATACTCAAGGCAGATTTATAAAAACATTTTCATAAATACTATTTTTATCACTATTTTTAGCATTTTGCATAAGGATATTGTTTTTTAGATCGTAGTCTTATCGATGAAAAATAACTAAATATATAGTTAATGAAATTTCAAAGTTTAGTCAAAGACTTTAGAAATCTAGATCTGAAGTATTCTTAAGAAGGAAGTGAAAATCAATCTCTAAACGGGAAACAAGCGATAAAACTCTATTCGGGTTCAAAAGATTGGAGAGAAGTGTGAACAGGGCGATAGGCAAACATATCTACCATTATCGAAGAAAAATAAATAGTAAATAAAATTTCAGGGGTTAGTTGAAGAGGTTAGAAAAATCCATGATCTTTCTAATTATATGTCGTTCTTATTTTTATTGAAACTTCTTCGTTTCCCTATGCTTCGCTTGGCTTCAGTATGCTCCGTGACTGTTAAATTCTCTAGACCGTCTTTCTTCAATAAATGGCCCAGACATGTCAACACTTGCTTTCTGGTTGCAAGTACAACTTTCATTGTGGGTCCTATTTTCTTAAAACTTGAGGAGATTGTTCAGCATTCATTGCCATATAGGAGATTAGATATTACATAGCAGTTCCGTACTGTTTTCTTTGTTTCTAATGAAATTTTCCTATCTCTTGATACTTTGCTTGGTTTAGGAAAGGCACGCGTAGATCGTCCGGTATTAATTCTCAGATAGAAGATAAGATATTACATAGCAGTTCAGCACTTTTCTCATGTTTCTAACCAAGTTTTCCTATCTCTTGATACGTTGCATAGTTTATGAAAGACATCTTTCTTTATTTCTCTTCACTACACTCATTCAGCACTTGTCTTTGTGCCAAATTCGTGCTAAATATATCTTCTAAATTTCCTTCTATATAATGCGCATTTTTTTTTTCTGAAGAACGTGGGTGTATGTTTAGCAGTGGCTAATTTTGTTTTGCTTTCTTTTTTTAATCATTCCACTCAAGCAAGGCAATAAAGCCACTGAAACGCAAGGAGGTTATTGAGTGTGAATGAATCTGTGAGAAATACATTCTCAGGAGAGAGAACAATAAAAGAACAGAAATTAAGAAAACAAAAGCTAACAATTGACATTGCATTTAATTTTTGAAGATCAAAAGTGGTAGCAAAGTATGGAGTTCGAAGAATGTTCCACAAGTGAGAAGTGAGTGAGAACAATAGAAGAGTAATCAGGAAGACAGTAGATAACGATTGACATTGCATTTAATTTTTTGAAGATCACACTTGACTGGAAAGCAAGAAGACGAATGAGAGTTCCACAACCGAGAAATGCGATAAAAGAAACTGTCAGTATAGGACCTGTCCTTACAAATAGTGACGCCAACTGTACATTGATGAGACCTAGCTGCCAATCTAGTACTGCGCTTAAAATTAGGAAGTCGCTGTACCATACAGAACATTTACCATGAAAATATTTATAGAAAATCACAGAGAAGCTACGTTACGGCTTGGTAAAGCGATTGAAACCGAGATGCTTGATCAGGACGAATAACATTGCTGATTCTTTTTATTATTTCATCAAGAAACTCTAAATACATATCAGAAGCCACAGACCAGATGTCTCAGCAATATTCAAATACTGTCGACGGTCACACAAACCTGCAACCTTCAAGTAAATTTATGCCAGACATTAACGTATGTGCTGTATTGGGCAGGATGATTTTTTTATCGAATTATTCAGGGGGAAAATAACGCGTCAGAGATGGTGGCTGAAAAAGCAGACTGTGTCGTTTTTATAACCCCATATATTTCGCCGATCGACGCATAACCACAAGTCGTATATTTGAAGTTTGAAAGCTACCTTTCGAAATGAAATATTCATAAATACATGAACTGTATAAAATATGGTTAGCGTTGTCACCTGAATAGGCGCAAGTTTAATATGTACATTAATTTGGCTACGGGTGGACGTAGTCAAGCGTGTATGTCTATTTGGTGATTGGACACAAGGAAGGATGCTAGTTTGTGTGGCCATCGACAAATGTTTGAGGATATCTACTTCCTCGGCGTCTTTGAGGGGGAAAAGGAATTTGCTTTCTTTATAAACTTTACTTAGTATCGGCATGTCCCTTAACTTTCTGGAATCCTCTCTTTAACTATCTTTCTCAACCAATATATATATATATATATATATATATATAGATAGATAGATAGATAGATAGATAGATAGATAGATCTTTACTCAGAGTTATCATGTCACAGTTAACTTTCTATCTTTCTTTTCTCTCCCCATATATATATATATATATATATATATATATAGATAGATAGATATACGATGACTATTTATTTTAGGTTTAATCCTTTTTCAAGTCCTGATTAAATTATTTTAATATTTTTATACTTAGTAATATATAGTTTCATAGATGAAACTATATATTACTAAGTATAAAAAAAATAAAGTTTACTAAATCAGAGAAATGAATTAGCTATTTTTTCCGTAATTGTCATAAATTTTACTTAAATAATATTTAAATATAAAAAATTTTAACAATCTTAATATACATACTTATACTTGATATGTAAAAATAATTTTACTTACAGTAGGTAATTCTAATACATTTACTTCTTTTAAAAAAGAAATATTGTCTATCAAAACTAATAGTGAAAATATTTTAAAGTTGTATTTAAAATTGTAGTTAAATAAAAAGAAATTCTAACCTTAACATCTTTTAAAATTGTAATTAAATAAACCGTATTCTAACATATAGATCTCCCTCTAAGTACTACAAGCACTTAAAGGAATCTAATAAAACACCTACAGTAAAATGAATTTAATATGAAAAGCTAGAAGATGTAAGCCATTGAATGACCCATGTCTTTTGTACTTACATGAGAAACAAGATATTACTAGGTTTATATAAAAAATAAAAGGTTACTAAACCAGTGAAATCAATTAGCTTTTTTTGGCGTCATTGTCATAAAATTTACTTAAATAATTTTTAAAAAAATTGTTACCTAATAATATACATACTTAATCTTAAAAGAAATATAGTATATTAAAAATTAAAAGTGAAAATATTTTTCAAATTGTAGTCAAATAAAACGTATCCTAACATAAACACCCCTCCCCCAAATCTTTAAATATACAAATAGAAAAATGCCGTAAGAATCTTTGCCGTTAACAATAAAAAAATTTTTAAAAATCCAGACGACATGCATTTAACGAATGTCAGATTTCATTGAAGAATACATCCATACCCCCTACCAAAACGTAACTAATAACTGATACATCAAAATACAGACATCATGAATACGCAAACACCCCTTGTCTGGTTGAAGTGGATTTCTCTGTTTCCTTGGAAACGTGAATTATGATTTTTGCTGTCTTTAAAACCCAGTAATTTTAAAAGTTACTCCAAAATTCGCTTGAGGATGAAATGGAACTAATGTCTTTAATTTAATTACAAAATTAAATTCGGACATTCCATTTTTGAAACATGGTTAGAACTGTGTAGCGGAAAAAACATATTTTAAATCAATTTATATATATATATATATATATATTCAAGAAAAGCATAAACTGTTGATGGAACCAACTTGATGAAAACTTGCCGAAATCTAAACTCTTAACCAGATAATGTCTTAATAAGACGACTCGAGTTACTAGAGTCATCCTCACATTCATATATATATATATATATATATATATATATATATATACATGTTAAAAATATTGTTTTAACGTATGCTATATTTAGGATTTAAGGAATTGAGATTATATAATATATAAAAGAGGCCATTGCATTCAACACTCAGCGATGAAAGCCTGTTCTATGCTTAAAAGCAATTGTCAGATCATGGCCTGACGATTGTGTTTAAGCGTGGAACAGGCTGTCGCCGCTGGGGGTTGACCTCCAAATATGGATAAATTCAAAATGTCATTAACTTCTTCGACATAATTTGAAAACTTTCTCAATTATTTTTAATACTTGCCGTGCAACAATCGAATAGATATAATCACAACCAATAAAATCTATAATAACGATAATGCTGAAGCAAACACATAAAATAAGTTATCACAGTGACAGGAACCAAAGGGTCTGAGTTCAATACCCGGTTAAGGCAGTGGAGAACTTGGAGAGGGGAATTAACAGGAGATAACTGATAACTGAAATCCATTAAACATGGCACGTGGAACTAGAACACTCTACCTCAGTGAGCGAAATAAAGGGTTCAGTTCGACATTCCAACCACCTGAAGAAGGCCGGAGTGTAGTTGTGATAAATATGGCGACAAAATAAAGACAATAGTAGGAATAATTTAATTTTTTAATTTTTAATATAATTTTATTATTTTTTTAATTTTAATTATTATTTTGATTTTAAATTGTTGATTGTTCCCTACAATAAATTGGTAAAAATATCAGATATTTAAAAAAAATCCTATCTATGAAAATAAGAATTGTCTTCAACGTAACGATGTATCCAAATTAGTTATATGCAGAAATAATTTTAACGACAGATTCGATCTAAAAGAAAAATTTCTTGAAAGTGTAATTATCGAGTCATGCTAAAATGTTAATTACGCCCTGGATTTTACAAATATCTCCTTCTCGAAAAGAAATGCTCTAACATACATGACCATAAAAAAAAAATTAAATTTTAAAGAACACGGTTAACTCAAGACATTTAAATATTTGAACATAATAAATTAATACATGAATAATTAAGAAAAAATAAAATATATTGAAGTAAATAAAAAATAGATTAAAAAGTATAATGATTAATTAAAAAGCAATATTTGTCCTTTTATGTTTATTAGGCAATAAATTACATCAATTAACGTCATCCATAGTTTACATATCCTCACACGGTTTAATTTAAGCACATTTTAGGACGTACGGATCGATAAGTGCCCACAGATTAGGGTATGAACCCGACCACTTACACTCTTATGTAAATTAATTGAAACAAAACGAATGATTCCGTTATTATTTATTTTTTTCGTATTTTTCCAATGAAACATGACCCAGTGGACATGTTAGTACTTCCTATATCCATTCCACGAAGTTGTGACTTGAAGATTGACCACAGATTCTTGATTGGTTTTCAATCAGGAGAGTTTTCGGGACAGTCTATAGTATATTGATTTGCTCGCTGGTAAGATCCTAGCTTGAAGCAACCGGATGTCTAGCCGCAACGATGAGCTGTGATACAGCAAAACAGACCTGTATGTGGATGAAATATATATATATATATATATATATATATATATATATATATATATATATATATATATATATAATGTCATCCACATACATACATATATATATACCTGCGCCTTGCTACGTGTCAGATTTTTTGTAAGAAAATGATTATTGATTTCAAATCATTGTCATAATTTGTGGAGACAAATGAGGCATGTCAATATTACTCAATAATCTTACCGAAGTGACCTCCATTTTCTGGATTTCTCCTTCCATATTTTGGATAGGAGTCATTCCTACTTTCAAATTTAAATTTAATTCATATCAAAGGGTAAAAAGTTTTTCAGCGGGAGGTTTGTGTTTCCAGGGGACCCCTTTGATCAAAATGAAATATATTTATCCAAGTATCCTGGGTAATGTAGTTTCAGAGTATATATGGTTAAGCGGCGGGGGAGGGGTATCTCCAAAACCCTAGAGGAGTCCGATAACAATGAAACAGAAGAGACAGAGTCTACAACTTTATATATATATATATATATATATATATATATATATGAGAAAAAAGTCTGGGTGACTTGCACTTACTATACCACACACAGACTCCCCCTGCTTCTCTACACATTTCATACAACGCACAATTCCCAAATTATTATTATAATTATTTTTATTAAATAGATGATTAAGCCCTTCGGGAAGTTAAAGCCATTCTGCCCCTAAGTTAGTTACTAAATTACTGAAAAAGAAAGGAAGTAAACTTCAAAACCCATAAAAATGCCTCAAAACCTTATATATATATATATATATATATATATATATATATATATATATATATATGCCTGGATGCGTATGTGGCTAATAATTTGAAGATCTTCGGCTTTTCACAAACAGCTCCATTTTCCCTGAAACGCGAATGAATTATTAAGATGCCCACGCCACACCTGGATTGATTGCGTGCATGTTGAAATGAAATCGCGCACCCGAACACCTAAATACTCCTATCGACTCTCCATAGCATATTTAACCCTAACCCTGATCTTCCTAACCCTACCCGGGTCAGCCTCAACCTACTCAGAGAATCAAAGAGACGTACATGCAAATTAATTTATGGGAGTGAGTACACTGAGAGTCAAAAACCACTGCCGCTGAAGTTCCTCTCCGTTTAACTGTTGATCGGTTCGACTGTCACGGTTTATTCCACGTCTATCTCAGTTTCTACATATCTATATCAGCCTAATCAACCCTATTTGCCTCGGTCTATCTATCTATCTATCTATCTATCTATCTATCTATCTATCTAAAACTCTTCATTAGCTATCTAGATGTGTCTCTGTCTCTATCTCAGTCTGTTCATTTCCATGTATTTATCAATCTCGTTCTGTTCATATCTATCTATCTATCTATCTATCTATCTATCTATCTATCTATCTATCTATCTATATATCTATCTGTTTATCTATCTAAGGCTATTCATCTGTTTATCTATCTATCTATCTAAGTCTATTCATGTCTGTTTATCTATCTATCTATCTATCTATCTATCTATCTAAGGCTATTCATGTCTGTTTATCTATCTATCTATCTATCTATCTAAGTCTATTCATGTCTGTTTATCTATCTATCTATCTATCTATCTATCTATCTAAGGCTATTCATGTCTGTTTATCTATCTATCTATCTATCTATCTATCTATCTATCTATAAGGCTATTCATGTCTGTTTATCTATCTATCTATCTATTAAG